CTATCACGAATATATTCATTCCGCATTTTGTTTCTAAGTGTAAAGCCACTCATCCACCTGATCCTAATCATTCTCATCTCACTTAACTTATTATTATGCTTCTCTTTTAAAGGCCAACATTCAGCGCCATAGAGCATTGCAGGTCTCACCACCGTCTTATAAAATTTTCCTTTCAGTCTTAGCGGTACTTTTCTATTACACAAAAGGCCCGAAGCATTCCTCCACTTCAACCAACCTCCGGATACAACTAAGAAAGAAAAACCTAACTAAACGATCGTTTGCACCTTCGTCCGAAACAAATCCTCGGTGAGGCAGCCACTCATATATAGTCACCCAGCTTAAAGTGGTTAGTCTGACTATCTCTTGGCTGAGCGACGAAACCCTCTCTAATGGTCGATAGCTCCAGACACAGCCTCACCATCTCCTCACGATCAGCCAACATCTCTCCTTGAATAACAACAAACTCTCCACGAAGTGCAACTTCTTGTTCCACCCAGTAGACTCTCTACAGGACCTTGACAACTCCTTTATCACTATCCCCCCAAGGTTGTACCAAGAGACGAAGAAAGCACTCCATTTCAGCAAGGCGACGCACCAAAAAATCAGCAAACACCAGGCGCCCCTCAGTTACCTCCTCCGTTGTCGCGCTGGGAGAAACTTAGTAGTCCACATTCTTGCCCTGGCTAAGGGGGAGGTGATTTCCCCCATCATTTGAGCCACATCTTCCACCTTCACGGTGCTCTGCACCATGGTTCCCTGTTCCGTAGAAGCTTACCCCACAACATCCACTCCCCCCTCCGCAACTCGATCAACAGTGATCGCATCACCCTTAGGGTCGTCGTCGGTGTCTGATGAGATGGAGACGATCATCAGAGCTCCGACAGCTGCAAAAGAAATATTTAAAGGTATGATTCAAGCTATGTCCCAAAATTCAACACCATTTAAAAGTGGTGTAAGAGATGAGGTCCTCATCTGCTCCTTTAATCCCCTACACTTGGAGGAAAGGCCATCCTTTCGAGATCGAAGGTGAGTACCAACTTCAGCGGGCACCTTCCCGAGCTTTTGGGGAGTCATAGTCCCCACAGCAGTTTGAACGGACATTCCTCACCTTTGGGCAGGAGTGATCGCTTCCGATGGATGCCCCAGAAGACGATCGTCGGGATGCCCTCCAATCTCCTCCGCAGCTCTTCTCTGTGATGAGCCTATGAGAAAGTCTGAAGACCCAGTTCGATCTTCATATTCCCTTGCTTGTAACTCCTACACAATAATTTCTTCCTCAACTCTTCCGCAGAAACTTCGCTCACTGCTTTCCGCTTCGTGACAGGTTTTTGAGCCCTTGTTCGCATATCACTCATGGCTTTGATGAGGGCGCTCTTGTCAGTTCATGGCGCTCCCTCGCCAGACATCTCGACATGCATGGAGAAGAAGATAGAAGACCAAATAAACGAGAAGAAAAGGAAACAACGCAGACCTTCTTTACCCCAAGGCTTATCTATAATGATCTGAGAATTAAAATCTAGGGAAGTCTATTATTACGCAATAATGTCATTTAATTATTTCGTACATGATAAAAAAGATTCTCTTATTTTCGTGTATTGTGCAGCTTTAAAATAGCAAGAGAATCGAGAACTAAATAAGTACATGTAAAATATGTCAGCACAAATTTCAAGACAGATGAACGGCTCAGGAAGAAGAAATAGCCCATCAAACATAGTTGTTGACAAGTTTTTCAAGCTGGACGGTGGTGAGAGAGGCGCCTTTTTTGGGCGATCAACGAAACGTTCCAAGGTCATTTTTTCGCGACTAAAGCTGCATCCCAGCTTCAGTCAGCGCCTTATTCAGCCCCCGGGGAGTCAATAGTCCCCACAGTAGTCTGAACGGACACTTCTCCTCTTTGGGCAGGAGTAATCGCTTCCGACGGTTGACCCAAAAGACAATTGTCGGGATGCCCTTCAATCTCCTCCGCAGCTCTCCCCTGTGATGAGCTTGTGAGAAAGTCTGAAGGCCCGGTTCAATCTTCGTGTTACCACGCTCGCGATTCCTGCACAATTCTTTTCTTGCTCAACTCTCTCGCAGAAACCTCGCTTGTTGGTTCCACTTTGCGACAGGTTTGTGAACCTTTGTTCGCATATCACTCATGGATTTGAAGAGGGTGCTTCTGTCGGCTGATGGCGCTCTACCACCAGACATCGCAACGAACACGGAGAAGAAGACAAAGACTAAAGAGACGAGAAGAATAGGAAGCAATGCAGACCTTCCTTATCCCAAGACCTATTTATAATGGTCCAGGCATGAAAATTTAAGAAAGTTCATTTTTGCGTAATATTATCATTTAATTATTTCATGCATGTTAAAAAATATTATCTTATCCTCGTGTGTTGTACAACTTTTAATGAGCAAGAGAATCGGGAAATTAAATATGTACATATAAAATTTGTTCGCACAAATCTCAAAATAGATGAACCACTCAGGAGGCGTTTTATTTGGGCGATCGACAGAATGTACCAAAGCCATCCATTCGCGAGTAAAGCTGCATCCCAGCTTCAGTCGGTGCCTTCTTGAGCCCCTGGGGTGTCATAGTCCCCACAGTAGTCTGAACCGACACTTTTCCTCTTTGGGTAGGCGTGATCACTTCCGACGGATGCCCCAGAAGACAATTGTCGGGACACCCTTCAATCTTCTCCACAGCTCTCCCCTGTGATGAGCTTGTGAGAAAGTCCGAAGGCCAAGTTCGATCTTTGTGTTCCTCTGCTTGTGACTCCTGCACAACCGTTTTCTTGCTCAACTCTCCCGCAAAAACCTTGCTCGTTGGTTCCACTTTGCGACAGGTTTGTGAACCCCTGTCCGCATATCACTCATGGATTTGAGGAGGGCGCTCTTGTCGGTTGATGACACACTCTATCTCCAGACATCACAGCAGACACAGAGAAGAAGACAAAAGACCAAAGAAACGAGAACAAAAGGAAATGACATAGATCTTCCTTATCCCAAGACCTACTTATAATGGTCCAAGTACAAAAATCCAGGGAAGTTCATTATTACGCAATAATGTCATTTAATTATTTCATACATGTTAAAAAATATTCTTTTATCCCCGTGTGTTGTCCAGCTTCCAAGGAGTAAGAGAATCAGAGAACTAAATATGTACATATAAAATATGTCAACACGAATCTCAAGATAGATGAACGACTTAGGAGAAAGAAACGACTGATAGAACGTAATTATTAATGACCGTTACGGGCTAGACGATGGCGAGAGACGTTTTTTTTTTTGGCAATAGGCGGAACTTGCCAGAAGTTTTCCCTCAGGGTGGTGATCAACCCTAAGGACGATCGACAGGAAACATTCTTTTGGATTAAATATGGATCGATTTGCAGCATACAAGACGATCGACGAACTCTTATCAATCGAATTGCCCCCCCATTTTATTATATTTAAATAACTCAGTAATTACTAAAAAATCCATCTGAAAAGTCAATGATAAGTGGACTAATATATTCTTTTGTAATGCTGGGACCTATGTCTATAATAGGAGGTTTATGATAAGAATTAAATATTATACTCTCTTTTACTATATCTTACCGTACTCTCCCCTCCCTGCAAAATGCTCTATATCTTAGGTGTGCTTCTCGGACATTTTTGAATTCAACAACGACCACTATTTGTAGTGAGCAAACATGTATTGGTTTACCCCATTAATTTTTTAGAATCCTCCAAGAAATTATGTATGTTGATCAAATTCATAATTCTATGAATGTGTTTTTTGACTATAATAATAACTTCTTTCATTTAGAAGCAATTTGCATTGAAATTTCGAGGATCCCATTTTCACATCCCATACTACAATAGGTTGTTTCTTATGCCAAATCATTTTCCAATTTACTTAAATGCCAAATTCACATGTGATCTTTTTGTAATGTTTGATGGAATATCACAATACAAATCTTCAAGGTGAGGAATTGACAAAATTCAATTTTCTTTGGGAAGTTCTGCTTAGAAATTGTTCTTTGTAGTGTTAAGCTAATTCTGTAGTATGAAGCATACTCCAGTTACTATTGTTTACTTTAAAAAGAGAAAAGAACTAAATGGTTTATTCCGTATTTACAGAGAGCCAACATCATCACAAGTTATAGAAAAAATCAATTTAGTCCTATTTAGATAGGGACTAAAATAGTCTCGAGAATTTTTTAAATGGGGATTAAAACTGTCCGGCCATAAGATTGTTTTGGTTCTTATTTAGATATTCTTAGGACTAAATTATCCCTACGTATAGTTTGAGATCACATTAGCCCTCTTATATCTAGCTGAGGGATCATTATGATCATTTTCTCAATTTATAAATCATACTTCAGTATGTTATGCCATTTTTATGCTGATAAAGTGCATTTTGTAAATTGAGTATTGTTTAGCAATAAAAATTGTCATAGTTAAGTTTGATATGATGTAAATGTCAAGATGGATGGATGGTGAAAATAAGGGCGATAAATTGAGGATTATAGTAGAGAAATGGTTGGTGTGGCATGTGTTATTGTCATGATAATTGTATATAGACTTTGGTGGTTGGACACTTAGAAATAACACCGATTGAATGAGAAATACAATTAATGTTTCGAGGATTATAGAATGGAAGGTGTGGGTCGAATTTAATTTGTATAGGAATTGTTTAAAACATTGGCACAAATAGATTCATCACATCAGCTATATGTAGCCAGAATGATTGGAAAATATGAATTCATAAATCAGCCTTGGTATAAGGTTAATGATGTTGATTATGAACTTTTAAAACATGAAAGTTGGGTCTCTAATCAGTTACCCATTCATGTTTATGAGTGTTTGGTGTTCTAGTTGTCAGCTTGTTGTGGTGTTCTAGCTGTCAGCTGCAGATAGACAGATAGAACCGCATCATTTGGAAGACTTGATATTCTGGTTACTGCTGTAGTATTTTCTTGATCTAATTTGAGACTGACGTCAGACTCCGCGAGGTTATTATATCCATCCATTACGATAAGGACCATCTCTCGAATTAAGAATTTTTATTTTTATTTTTGAAAAGCTCAATTTTTCAAAATTCTTTTGTGAAGTGTTTTTCCATGCAGTTGATTGATTTGGTTGTTTGTTTAGTCTCTGAAATCTAGATTTAATTGATTTTTTAATTCATGATTTACATTACATGTTTTGCATAAATGGGGATGCAATTGTTTAACGGTTGATTTTTTTTTAATAAATTATAAATCTCTGTAGAAATAGAGTCATAAGCGAGTACAGCTTGCTTTGCACTTAATTGTTACTTTGTTGAGTTAGATTTTAACCTTGAACTTTATTTTGAAGCAGAAATCGAAAAGATTGCAGCAATTAGAAAAGAGAATGACGACAATGGTATGAACATTGACGGAAAAGTGCCTTGCGACTCTCAAATATTTGAAGCCTATTTAGTTGATTTAAGGGAAAAGGCTGAACATCTTGAGTCCAGGCTGGAGAATGCATCAACAGTAATTGAAACAAAGGAACAGAAGCTGCAGGAGCTTGAAGCACTGCTTGGCAAAACTCAGTTGCCAAATAAGGAAGGCACAAGTTTCCATGTATCACCCATTGAAGTGCACAAAGAAGAACTGGATTCTGAACTTGAAGTACTCCTAAAGGAAAAAATGGAGACAGAAATCGAGTATTTGATCATAAGTAGAACTCTACAAAACTGGAAAGTACTCTATGAAGATCGCATTGCTCTATTTAAAGAGCAGAAGTATCTGGCTGGTGATCAAGAACAGATGATGCTAAAGCTTAGAGAAGCTGAGGACAAGATCATCATGTTGAATGAGCAGAAAGACAAGCTGGAGGCATATTGCAAGGAGCTTGTACAGACTGAGAATGTCCTGAGGCTACAAAACAAGGTCTGTAAGCTTTCCCTCTACGTTATTTTTCAGTTGATGTTTTTGAGCATTGCCTTCGTGTTATTTCTCATGCAGTTGCTGTCCCCAGTTGATGGGGTGGTGCCAACTTAGTTTTTCAAGCCAAACCTTGTGTAATTTTAGGCCCCATGTTTGATTATGTGAAAGTGAGTTTTTTACGTAGGCCTTTTTGGTGCAATTATTTTTTTAGTTGTAGCTTTTTTTCTTTAGTTGAATGATTGCGTTCTATTTATATCTTTCTTTTGTTGATCAGATTTTAACTTATTGACTGAACTTAATTGTAAACTTATTATGCAAATACATTAATTTTTAAAAAGAAAAAAATGAATAATATTTAATTCAAAATAACGTTTTGTAGTTCATTATGATCAGTGAATTGAACAATGATTATACAATTTTCAAACTATTTTGTATTTTCTTTAATAATGTTGCATGATGACTTTATTAGGAATCAGGTCAGACAATTTTTCTCAGTATAAAGTATTAGTTAGTAATTGAGCCACTTATCATTCATTTTACCCTGCAATTGATATTTAAAAAGCTTCTTTACATAAAATGCTCTTTCCGATCCATTATATTTGTACCAATTGATAAAGTTAATGACAATAGGACAACCAGAAAAATATGGGGATATTTAAGTACTTTTGCAAGTTTGCTATGCATGCTTAAGGATGAGAATTTCTTTTTTCTTAACACTATAAAATAGGGTACACATATAAATATTATAATTGTATAGCTGATGCTCAAGAGTCACAACTTAACTATAAAAAAAACATTTGAATATAAGTTAAGAAGGCAAATTAAATTTTCATGCAATATTACCCAATGGTACAACAACAACGACAACAACAAGCCTTCATCCCAGAAAGTGGGCCTGCCTATATGAATTCTTTTTCTCAATTGTGTCCTAAATTAAGATAATTATTTATACAAGAAGTTCAAGTCGTTCTAGGTCAACCTATATCTTTCTTAACATAAGTCGAATTTAAAACAGTTGTTCTCTTAACTGGATCATTGGATTGTCGATGCTTAATGTGAATAAATCATCTACGAGGACTACCTCTAATCTTGTCTATCATTGGAGCTACACCAACCCCTTCACAGATACATTCGTTTCGCATTGTCTCTACGAGTGAAGTCACTCACTCATCCACCTAAGCATTATCATCTTAACAGCATTAAACTTCGTTTCATGCTTCTCTTTCATAGGCTAACAGTCGGTGTCACAAGGCATTGTAGGTCCCACCACCATCTTATGAAATTTTCCTTTCAAGTTAAACAACATTACCAATTAGTGATCGGAGAAAATTATAATTTATTGGTTGACGGAGCTTCTTATCCAAATATAATCTTCTAATATTATTCTTTTCATTAGTATCCATAACTCCAAATCAAAGGCCAATACCCAAGATCAACTAGAAGATTGTCAATATCAGTTTTTTGTTTTTTTTTCGATATCAATCTATCTAAATATAAACAATAAGTGGTATTCACTTATGAACAAATATATATATATATATATAT